CCCCTTTGTTCTTGGGGCTCAGTCTTTGGACATAAGTCCCCTGAGAGTCTGTGCTGGCACAATAAAATGTTGCTTCCTGCTAATTGCCTCAAGAGTCCCAGATCTCAGCTAGCAACATCCCACAACAGCATGAGTTCAGTTGTTATTTGTCTATTGTTCTTGGCAATCTATGCTGTGATCTTCAAGATGTGCCAAGTAAAGTACCTTAAGTACCAAGTTGTCAGACTAGTGGTTATTGGGAGCTAAACAGGAACCAGAAGCAAAAGCTGTACTTCATGATGGAGTTTCATGAAATCAGAGCAGGATACTGGGTCAGTCTGTGGTGGCATATTCTGTGTATTTCCTAAAAATTAAAAAAATAACCATTTTTTATTCTTTTTGTTATCATCTAATTATGACCAAAATTTTCTTCTATTAGTTTGGGGCTGAAATAAAACCTGTATCTTTCCTTCAAGTCTCCTTCAAAATTCGACTTTTTCTCATTGGGTTATCAGAGGCAGAAAATGTGTGGAACCATCAATGACATTTTGACAGTTACAGGGCTAGGGTTAACCCCAGCTTCAAGGCTATCCATCCTCAGCACCACAAAGACTCACTAAAAAAACATTTCCCACTCTGAAGCTCAGCTCAGTACTTGAGAAATTTTTTTTCTTCAACTTCTTGCTAACGATTTATTTATCAGAAACACTTGTTTTTCTGAGGGTCCAGACTGGACAGGCAAGGAACCCTACTAGAAACTAAAATTTAGTGTCTCTCATGGTAGCCTATTGTTTTCGGTTCAAGTTTCCTGGTCTCTACTGATTGTCCTAGGAAAGAAATCCTAGCAGAGCTTTGTGTCTCCAGCTGAACTCTGTTTTCCTTGTCAGCCTGTGAAGGACCACATCAGGAAACGCAGGCTCAGACTCTTATCTGAATGTTTTCATGTTGTTTTTTAAAAAATCTGAATCGGAATTTCATCAAACATGGTAAAAATTGATTTTTGTTTTTTCTTTCTATGGAACTATGCCCAAATAAGACCAAGCAGAGTTTAAACATTACTAACAGGTAAAATCAAACAAGAATAGATGGAGTGACCTTGGGCAAGTCAGTCCTCTCCTTTTGTTCTCGCGGAAGTGCACCGAGGGTGTGATGTGTAGAGGGGCGCTAAGGGCTTCCTTTAGGGTGTTCCCCAAGATTTCTTACAACCTTAACCGGCCACCAGTTGGAATTTTGGGGTGTGGGGGGAAGCAGGGCTGCAAACTCAGATGGTTCCAGGCCACACACCAGACACCTGGGAAACAGCGTTAGCGAAGAACCCGCGCAGATCCCACGCGGCTGGACACGAGAGGAACGCAAACGGTGGAAGAAAGGGAAGTCAGGGGCTCCACACAAGCGACACACAGGCTCAGGCCCAGAGTCCCAGAGCGCCCATCTCCTGCAAGGGCCCCCAAGCACCGGCCCAGCAGCCCACCCCACCCCAGGCCGCTCCTCCTCCGCGGGCGGCTCCGCGACCGCCGGTTCCCCGCCCCCGCGCGCCCGGGGCAGTGGGGTTCGCGGTGCGTTCGCGGGCGCTGCCGCATCGGCCGCTGCGGCGGAGAAGGCGAGGGCGGCGCAGCCTCGCGCGCTGCGGGGCGCAGGTGCCCGCTCGCCCATGGCCTTGACGCCGCGGCTCCTGCGCGCAGCCTCCGCCGTTCGTCCAGGGCCTCCGAGCCCCCGACACGGGCGCGATGCTCAACGGCGCAGGCCTGGACAAAGCTCTTAAGATGTCCCTGCCGCGAAGGGCGAAGATCGGCTCGTCCGTGGGTGAGCGGGGAGGGGCGCGGCGGCGAGGGTGGGTCGGGGCCGGGGCGGGGGCTGGAGTGGGGGCGGGGGCGGGGACCGGGGTGGCGCGCCCGCGGCTATGCGACACTACCCCGCCCTGCGCTCGACCTCCCCCTGCCGGGGCTACTGGACCGCAGGACCAGCCACCGCCAGCTCTGCCTGCACCTGGGGGCTGGGCGCCACTGCACCTGCGAGTCCAAAGATCCTCATGCCGGGTGAGGGGCGCGGGGCGCGTCAGAGACCCCCTACCCATCCCCGGAGCGTGTGCGCGCGCGTACGCGCCGCGCGCATGCCCAAGCACCCCAGCGCGCGGATTCAGGTGATAGAAGCCGCCAGAGCTGCGGGGCTGGACTGGGTCCCCAGCCGTAGTGGGCCGCGTTGGGTCTGCTCAGCGGCCATCTGGCCTCCCCCGCTGGTGGCTCGCATGGCTGTGTGCAGAGCTCTCAGGGAACAGAGACCTGGGGTCCAGGCGATCGGGCGCATATCAGCGCTCCACTAGCTTACTGCGATACTCCCACGCTGGAGCCACATCGGGAAGTTCCACACACTCGCGGGTGCAGGCGCCAGAGCGTTGGGACCTCAAATGTAGCTTCCCCATCCTCTCCCTTCGTTAGAAGCCTTTATTCTATCACACGTTTCGAAACCGGAGGTTCTGTGGCTATGACACACCACAGGTAATGCAAAATTGAGAGGACCTTCAAAAACGATTTGATCTAGCCATTTCCGGATTCCGTGCAAGTCACTGTGAAGGTAGATCCTTGACGTGAGAAACCCAAACGGGTTTGTTGCTTGGTCACTGTCATATTTGGGGTTTTGTTTGTTTTGAGAAAATAGGCATATACAAAGAAGCAACTTTTATGGTTTTGTAGTGGAGAAACATGAGAGGGAAACAAGTTTATTAGACAGTTTACACCGTTGTTTGTTGAACTTGAGTAACATCAGGGCACACACACGCACCCACATACATTTTGAGGAGAATGCCCGCCCTCCTGAAAGGATCGCCGGGCCAGGGTGAAGACTGGAAGGCCAGGAGTCCAGGGGCAGCAGTAATCAGGTGGGGGGTGAACTAAGGTGGAGTTTCCAAGGTAGAACCAAGCTCTGGACCTGGGGCCTGTGAAGGAGGAGCAGCAGAGGTGGCTCCGAGGGTACAAGTCTGAGACACCAGCTGGGAGAACGCACCACTCACTGCAGTGGGGAGAGCTGCAGAGGACCAGCTGTTCTCTTTGGGTGAAAGAGGATGAGAGGAATTTGGGTTTCACCACATTGCATTTGAGGTGCCCACTGGAGAGCCCAGTGGAGGGAGGTGTTCAGTAGAGAGCTGGGGTCTGGAGGAGTGTTCAAGACCAGGGAGAGAAATCTAAATTCAGCAGTTGTGCATACCGGCTCTGGGGTATCCGCCCCGCAGATGCACAGGGCCCTGCCCTTGGAAGAGTGTTGAGTTTGCTTTAGTGTTCTGCAGTTGCTAGCTTGAAGTCAATAAGTTATGTATAGGTGCTCACAATTTCATTTTGTACTGGGCCCTGAAAAGTACATAATCCGTCCCGGCTGTCAGCTTGTGTAGATACAGCTTAGAAAAGAGGGGTCTGAGGGAGTCCTGGGCACTCCAGTATTTTGAGGTAGATGGGGGTTAGGGGCAACAGGAATGGCCTGCAAGACAGCTAGGGAGGGAGGCCTTGGAAATTGGGAGAGGGGTACACAGAAGTCCAGCGAGGGAGGAATGCTGCCAAGAGCTCAAGACAGATGAAACTGGGCATGGATGCTCAATTTCCGTCTGTGGAGGTGACCTTGGAAGATCTGTGGTTGTGTAATTGTGGGAATACTTAACAGAGTGATGCAAGGGAGAGTAAGAAGACAGAAATTGGAAAAAAGGAAGCCTGGAAAACTCTTTTGGGGAAATTTTGCAGAAAAGGGAGGAGAAGCAAATTGAATGGGAGCTGGAGGAGAATGTTTTGTTTTAAGATTGATCTTACAGTCATACAGTGTGGTGGGATGGACATCAAAGTCAGGCTTTTAGGGGGCAGGGGTCTGAGGTTGACAGCGAGAAGCAGATCAGTTAAGAAGGGTGGGAGTATCCAGAGAAAAGAGGGCCTGGGGGTCTTGATGGTAGATGCAAGTTCTGGAAGAAAGAGTGAGAGATTTTACAAGGTGGGGGTCTATTCAGATCATTTGCATCACATCTGGGCAAGAGGGAGGGACTGAGTAGTGTGAAACCTAGGTAAAGGGTCTGACAATCCTGTGGTCCTATAAAACTACTAGTGATATGTGACTTTCAGTGACACCTGCAGCGTCTCATTTTGTGCACACTAGCAGTGTAGGTATCACAGGTTGCAGTCTGCTTCAAAATTAGGTGCTGAGTGGTGTACAGTTGAATAAAGCAGCCCCTGGACTGTGACTTCTTGTTGCAGACACTGACTCCTGTCTTAATCTGGGTATTCTGTTGTACCTTTTTCACTTCTGCCTTTCCCCAGAGATCTGTTTCTGTGCCACTGTGTTTCCAGCATTTGACTTACTGATGGGAATCCAAAGACGTGTATGTGTTTGGGGGGAGGAGAGAGGTTTCCTCGTGTATTTGTGGAGCTTATAGCCTGTTCCTGGTGGATTCTTTTAGTCTAGGAAGGAAGACAAACTGGAAACAGTCATGGATTTCACAAATATACACTGACTGCCTACTGTGTGCCAGGCACTGTTGTGGGTGCTGAGATGGAGCAGTGAGCAGGACAGAGGTGTTTCTGTAATGCTCAAGGTCTAGGGATTGGGTACAGGCTTGCTGTAAGCGCCCTCAGCTCTTACGCAATCTCCAGCTGACAGGCACAGGCAGCATACAGCCATTAAGCAGGTGACTGTGTCTGCAGGAGTGCCGGAAGCACGGTGGGGAGCAGGGACACACTGGAAGGGGAGTTATTTCTATGGATTTTGACTTCAGTGCTGTGTGGACAGGAGTATCCTCCCTGTCTTACCGAATTTCTACATTTGGCTACATAAAAGATTAACAATAAAGAGCAGGTAAGCAGAAGTGTACAGACTAATACAGGACCTTTATAGCTGCACATCTTGGGAAACTGTCCTTAGAGTTCTGCTGCAAATGCATCCCAGTCCATCCATCTCTCGTGCCCTCTCCTGGTCATTAAAGGTGGGTTTTTGTTTTTGTTTCTTAAATGAGTCCTAAGTGGAGCTAACTTTCCCATAACAACCTCCCTAAGTTTTGAGGAGGAGAACTAAGGTAGCTGAAAATATGAGGAACTGGAACGTTAGCATGAAGGAGCTGGAATATCTCAAAGGTGGTCCAATCCCTTCATTTCACAGAAGAAAAAAACAGTTCAATGAAATCTCTGCTTGCTCGTGAATGTCCTGCAGGACCAGCTGATTTCTATGGGTGTGGACTTTCCACCTTCCCCAAACAGCTTAGGTCAGTGTCAGGCCGAAGTTGAGCAGAGAGAGCTCTCTTCCTTGATTGGAACTAAAGACAGGTACGGGTCTAATTTCTCCTGGTTCTGTTTGGGTCCCAGTAGGTACTCAGTAAGTTGAATCTTTATTTGAGGTCTGTCCTTGGTAATTTTTGGGCTTGGCATAGAAGTCTGGTTTATGTTTAGAAGTTTCTTAGAGGCAGTCCATGTGGGGGTGAAAAATGCCAGACTTTGGGTTCACAGACAATCGGACTCAAATTTTGACACTGTTTTTGATTTCCTGTGTGACATTAAAAAGGTTCCTTTACTTCTGTAAGAGAGGAAATTGAAGATAAAATACTTTCCCTTCCTGAGGTGATTGTAGTGGGCATCACAGGCCTGAAAGTACACACTAATTATTTGACTCTGTGTGTAGCTCATGTAGACAATGTCATTATTTCCCATGCTGCCCATCATGATCCAAGCAAAAGCCTTCAATATTTATTCTATGTAATAGCAGAAAAGGCAGCAACTTGGCTCGCCATTATTTCCCCTGGAAGTCTCATGGCGACTAGAGCTGACTGTGTAGAGTCACAAGGGGAGGATTTGAGTGTTCTTTTATTATGCTTGCCCAGGTGTGTGATGACAGAAATAAAATCACCAGCCACTCCGATCCCAGAATCTGCCTCTTCTAGTGTCTCTGAAGTTTACCACCTTCTGTACAAAGTAGACTTGCATTACCCAACAGGTGGCCAGTATGCAGCTAAGTTGACAGCTTGAGTTGTTTAATTATTGATTTCACTTTTACAGCAGATGCTTTATCCTGAACTCTCATCTTACAGGGGTGCCAGCTAGACAAAAGATTCAATTAAGATTGTTCTCTAAAAAGTTTTAAAACATTTATGAGAGGATGTGCACACGGCACCTCTGAAGGCAGGTCTCTGCTCTCACTCCTCTGACCCTCACATTTACAAACTAAAACCTCCAGTCAATGCCACACAGATTCAAGATGTTATTTACATCCTTTTAGGCCAGTAAAAGTGCTCAGAGCAAATGTTAACAACCATTAAGGAAGGCTAAAAATAAAAGTGTCCTCAGTTCCATGTCTTGTCATTGTCAAGGGCAAACACAGCAGGGACAGAGCCAGGGGAGCCCTAGCACGGGTAATGCACTGAAGTGGGAGTAGCCAAGGCCTGAGTGGCTCCTGCTCAGATGTGTCCCTAAGAGTGACGCTGAGCATGGTGGCATGTCCCCTTACTGAGGAGGATCACTTGATCCCAGCAGTTTGGGGCTACCCAGAGTAGCAGAATGAGACCCTGCCTTGGAAAAAAAAATTTAAAAAGAGTGAATGTGTGCTGTCCATCTCCCAGCTGTGTTGGGAGAGGGCTCACCGTGCCAGCTTCACCATACACGCATACATGTATGTCTTTTTTTAAAATTTTTATTTTATTCATATGTGCATACAATGTTTGGGTCATTTCTGCCCCCTTCCTCCACCCCCCCTGCCCCCTTCCTCTCCCCCCCACCCCTTCGATACTTGGCAGAAACTATTTTGCCCTTATCTCTAATTTTATTGAAGAGAGAGTATAAGCAATAATA